GACCGGCTGCCCCAGCAGGCGTGCAAAAGGCCATGGGGCCCGGCAGGATTCATCCCGGGTTTGGGGGAGCCGGCCGATGTCATCACAGGATCTCTCCCTGTTATTTTTGAACAATCTGGAGAGGTCCCAGTCGCCTGGAAGCTGGCAAACGTTGTCCCAGTTTCCAAGCAGGGTAAGAAGGAAGACCCTGGTAATTACCAGGCTCGTATCAGTGCTGGGTAAAATTGCAGAGAAGGTTATTCTGGGGGTTACTAAAAACCACTTGGGAGATAACACAGTCACTTGTCATAGCCAGCATGGGCAAGCCCTGCTTAATGAGCTTAATTTCCTTTAATGACAAGGTCAGCCATCTAGTTGACCAAGGGAAGCTGCTAGATGCAGCGGATTTGGGTTTTAGCAAAGCTTTTGATACTGCCTCTGGCAGTATCCTGGATAACCTCTCCAGCACACAGCCAGACAAGCCCATCATATGCTGGGCGAGGAATTGCCCGACAGAGTTATGGCAAACGGTGTCACATCAGAGGAGGGCGACAGGCCCCGAGGGCAGGACTTGGGAGGAGCAGCTGAGGTCACTTGGCTTTTGAACTCAGTGATCCTTATGGGTCCCTTCCCACTTGAGACAGTCTATGATTCTGCCTTTGCTTAAAGCTTGGTGGTGTGGGAAAGAAAGGCACAGGATGGTGGGGCTCGGGGATTAAACGCAAGTGGTGCAGAGCTCTGCCGCAGCCTTGGCAGGACAGTAACAGGAGCAGGGGAAACAGCAGCAGCTGGAGCTCTGCGTTCCCAGTGACAGTGCTGGGAGGAAACCCAGGGAAAGGATAGGTAAAAGCCATCTATTTCAACTCTCTTCTGCTTTCCAATGCCCAGAGTTTATTATAAAAAAAGCAAATGGATGAGTTACAGGAACAAAGGGAATCTGTTGCACATTGAGAGCTGTAAACAGCCACCTGGAGAAGGCCCCGAAGGCAGGAAGAGCTGAGGAGAGCCCTGCTCACCAGAGGGAGACCCTCTGTCCCCTCAGTGCTCATTCCTGTGTCGCTGCTGAGTGCCCTTGGGGCCAGCCCAGAGGGGGAGCAGGGGTGAGATTATTCTCTGCCCCCAGAGAACAGCACTCCTTCCCCAGCAGCTACAAAGCTAGGGAGCTGCAGAGAGACAGGCTTTTAGGCCATGGGCAAAACATCTGAGCCTACATGCAGGAAAGCCCCAGGGGACCTTGTCCCTCAGCAGGGCACAATGTCACTGTCCCTGCCCTTACGCTCCGGCAAGGCTGCATGAGGAGCTCAGACACAACACGGCTCAAAGGGAGATTGATGTTCCAGGGAGAGCTCACAGCAAGTTCAAGGTGGTGTCCAACTCCTCCAGAAAGCCTCCCAGCAGGGAAGCTCCACCATCAGACAAGAAAGATCTCGGGATCTCCCAGAGCTCGGTGCCAGGACTCCACAGCCTGCACTGCATACAAGAGGACTAAATAGTCCTCTTAGTCCTTCCTGAGCCCCCAGTCTACAAATCCTTCCCCACCTCACTCCCCCCCCCTTCTATTCTTGTGGTTTGCACAGCGCTGCTGCTTCACCAGAACATGACAGCCACCATGGAGGTACAGCATGAGACCGACCCTGCTGGGCTGGGCCAGGGGCTGTGCAGCCAGCAGTGGAGGCCTGCAGAGAACCAGAGCAGACCCAGAGAAGCCGCTCCCCTGCTCCCAGTGCCCACAGCCAGGAACCAGAGCCAGAGAAACCGTGCATTTAACAGCATCTGGCAAGTTGTCCTTCCACAGACTCACTAGTCATGTCTGAAGCCAGGTGACCTGCCCTGGCATACAGAGCTCCCACCAAGGGCGAGTGAGCAGTTTGTCCTGTCCCTCATTCCTTGCCTTGGAACGAGCTCTTACCCCAGGGGGGAAACTCTCCCCCTTATCCCAGAGCAGCCCGGTTCCTTAAGCACCTTTGGCAAAGACCCTTAGAGCAATGCAGGTAGATGATACAGATTACAGCGCCTTGTAGTGACCAGAGCACCTCCCAGCAGCGAGGAGCACACGTTCTCCTGTGCCAGGCAGGTCTGAGAACACACAGGAATAGGCATAGAGCCCAGTTTTTCAGTAAATTACCTTGAGCTACTTGGGATTTAAGATGCTGCAGCAAAGAGCAACAATACCAACTACTTACTATAGTATAGAGAGAGGAAAAAAAGAAATAGCTACTCTTGCAGGCAGCTGGACCGCAGAGCTACACACAGATACCAGCTCCCAGGACCCCTCCACCCACACGCAGAACAGAAACCCCCACAGCACGCGACACCGCAGCAGGAGCCAGAGCCAGCCCAAGCAGCTGCGATGAAATGGATGGCAACGCCCTGTGCCCTGTCAGGTACTTCCCTCGGGCTGCTCTTCTCACGTGTAGATCCAGTGCTCAGCCGTGTCCTCCCAGCAAGTCAGCTCCTCTGGCTGGAACCAGAGGGAGATCTCCTGCCGGGCACTCTCAATCGAGTCGCTGCCGTGGATCACGTTCCTGTGGGCAAGAAGAAAGGGATCAGCCAGACTAAGCAGACAAAGGCAGGAGAGGGAAGCTGCAGTTTGGAAAATTTAATCTTGACCAATGTAATTAAACCGATCAAGCCAGTCACACCCTACAATATTCTCTCCTGCCACATAGCTCCTCCTTCCAGCTCAGGGGCTGTTTCTGGTTACACTGAACATGGCTTAGGCCATGGATGAGCAGGAGCTGGCAGTTCCCAGTGCTCCTTCCTCCTGTGATGACAAGCCATTTGTTTGCTACAGGAGGAGCTGCAAGTGACTGTTGATCTAGAGCTTGCCTTGGTTTTATGGCAGTAATTCAAGTTTTGCCTCCGGATTTCCTTTGTTCCTTCTGTCAAAGCAGGTCCTCTGAAGCAGGTTTGGTATCAGACACCAGGGAACAGAAAGCCAGTCCAGGGGGGTCAGTAAAAGCAGTGTCTACACCACAAGGCAGACTGCAGCCACCCGAGGTCACAGCTGGTAGACCTTCACTGGTGAAGAGCCCTAGCACACGTAGAGCTCCTGCTTGGCTTTCGTTACAGACTCAGGTGCCCAGCAGAGCTAGAGCAGCTCTCCAGGTGCCCTGCTTCCCCAGGAAAGGGCTGAGAGGGCTCCTCCCTTCCTCTTCACAGCCTGACAGTCCTGACTCCCAGGAGCAAAAGACAAGCAAACCCCACCTGCTTTCAGCAGAGAAGCCCTTGGGAGGCAGGAAAGCCACAAACACAGGCTCCTCCTTCTGGCAAAGCCAACACCAGGCAGCAGAAGTCAGCACCTCCCGCCAGGGCTCCTCTGCAAGCTGTGGGAGGCAGACAGCTCTGCTCTGG